AATCAGGAGAGATCATCACAGTTGCTGAAACTGGCCACTTCAGGCTGTGAATTGGTGACAAGGCTCATGTTGAGGGGTGCAGGGAGAGGGAAAGGTGTGCTGGGGACCACACTGTGAGTCCCCGCCCTTCTCAGGCTCCACTCTGCCTTTCTTTCACCCTCTTCTCTGCCCAGGAAGGAGGAGGTCGTGGGGCACAGGCTTTGTGACACTCTCGGTGAAGGTCAGTGGACTGGGTGGGATGTGACAATATCCGGTCCAGAACCATGACTTACTTTTTCTGGCTTCTGCACAGGTAGTGACTCCTTGACAGTCTAGAATGTTCAAAAGAGACAAATGTGGGCTGGATGAGGGTGGGTGGGCTCTGCCTTGGCCCTGTGCACAGCTGGGACCCTGGTCTGGAGCAGCAAGACAGAGCGTGGTCTTGGGGTGTCACACTGGGCACCCTGAGCCTGTGGTGCTGTACTGGGCAGGCCTCAGCCTCCAACCTTACTCAAGGAGAACCCCTGCACTCACATTGTGGGAACCCTAGGGGTCATCCAGGCCAGGGACCACGTCCCTAGAGAGGCCCAGCTCCTGCAACAGTCCTCTTCTGTCCATAGCCACATAAAGACGAGAGTACCCGCCCCACTTCCCTTCCTCAGGGAGAGCCTGTCTGTCCCTGGGAGCCCTCCCTGACCTCCCAGCCTCATAGCCGAGTACCCAGCTTCTTCCCCTCATGGCTCCCTGGGAAGAGATGAGCCCTGTGTATTCCCTGGGCTGAGCTCTGTCCTCTCCTGCCCCTGCACTGTCCTTTGTCTGCAGCTCTCTGGGCTGGGTCCATCCACCCCAGGACCCAGGGCCTCTGCCGCCCTCCTCACCCTGGGCTCCATCTCTGCTTTTGGCTCCAGCTCTGCTTTACAGGGGCCCTTCTCACTCCTGTAGGGGTGGACATTTCACCCTCAGCCATGACTGGACAGGACTGTGAGCTCCTTGTGGGGAATGGTGGCTACTTTATTTTGTCCTTCCTCAGTTCAGCATGGGGCCCAGGGGAAGCCGGAGCTCAGAAAAGGCAGATGGAGGAATGGGGAAGGCACCAGACATGTGCCAAGAGCCATGCTTGTTTCTCAAGGCACAGACAGCTGGGGAGTTACAGCATCCTCCATCAGAACCTCGTGGGGGACCCTCTTTTCCTCCACACAGAGGCCGTCTCCTGACCATTGTTCATCTCAGGCTTTCAGAAGTCCAGCTTGTTGAGGCAGCCCTATTTTCAGGAATTCTGGGGTCACTTTTCTCTAGGCTCCAGGGCAGGCCTCAGCTCCATGTCTAGTGCATCCCAGGCCAGCTGTCTGTGGCCATCCCAGGACAGGAGGCCCTGCGGAAGTCCAGGCTTGCTAGGCTCTGGGAATGTGTGGACAGTGTCTGCACTTCCCTTGGCTCATGTGATGACCCGGGAGCTGATGGGAAACTTCCCACAGGCGGGGTCACGTGGCAGTCAGATGTTGAAGTCTCTTGGAGGATGGGCCTGTGTCTGGGCCCCAGGGCTGGGTGGGCAGGGAGTATTTATTCTCCTGCCACACAATTGCCAGAAACCACAAAGCAGCAGCAGGGTCAGGAGCAGGGCCGGCAGGAGCTGGATGATTAGTGGGTTGCTTGTCCAGCCCTGTGGTTGACTTGCCTCCTGTGATGGACCAGTGTCCTATGATGGACCAGTGCTCTGTGGCAGACGGGTGCTCTGTGATGAACAAGTGGTCTGTGATGGATAAGTGGTCTGTGATGGATGGGTGCTCTGCGATGGATGGGTGGAGTGTGATTAATGGATGCTTTGCGGTGGATAGGTGGTCTGTGGTGGATGGGTGGTGTGTGATGGATGGGTGGTTTGTGGTGGATGGGTGGTCTGCAGATGAGTGGTCTATGATAAATGGGTGCTCCGTAGTGGATGGCTGGTATGTGATGGACGGCTGGTTTGCGGTGGACGAGTGCTCTGTGGTGGATGGATATTCTGTGGTGAATGGGAGGACTGTTATGAATGGGTGCCCAATGGTGGATGAGTGGCCTGTTATGAATGAGTGCCCTCTGGTGGATGAGTGGCCTGTGATGGATGGGTGCTCTGTAGTGAATGGGTGGCCTGTGACTGATGGGTGGCCTATGAGGAATGGGTGCTCTGTGGTGGATGAGTGGCCTGTGATGAATGGGTGGCCTGTGATGGATGGGGGCTCTGTGGTGAACGGGTGGCCTGTGATGGATGGGAGCTCTGTGGTGAATGGGTGGCCTGTGATGGATGGGAGCTCTGTGGTGAATGGGTGGCCTGTGATGGATGGGTGCTCTGTGGTGAATGGGTGGCCTGTGATGGATGGGTGCTCTGTGGTGAATGGGTGGCCTGTGATGGATGGGTGCTCTGTGGTGAATGGGTGGCCTGTGATGGATGGGTGCTCTGTGGTGAATGGGTGGCCTGTGATGGATGGGTGCTCTGTGGTGAATGGGTGGCCTGTGATGGATGGGAGCTCTGTGGTGAATGGGTGGCCTGTGATGGATGGGTGCTCTGTGGTGAATGGGTGGCCTGTGATGGATGGGAGCTCTGTGGTGAATGGGTGGCCTGTGATGGATGGGTGCTCTGTGGTGAATGGGTGGCCTGTGATGGATGGGAGCTCTGTGGTGAATGGGTGGCCTGTGATGGATGGGTGCTCTGTGGCGAATGGGTGGCCTGTGATGGATGGGGGCTCTGTGGTAAATGGGTGGCCTGTGATGAATGAGGGCTCTGTTGTGAATGCATGGCCTGTGATGGATGGGGGCTCTGTGGTGAATGGGTGGCCTGTGATGGATGGGGGCTCTGTGGGATATGGGTGGCCTGTGATGGATGGGGGCTCTGTGGGGTATGGGTGGCCTGTGATGGATGGGGGCTCTGTGGGATATGGGTGGCCTGTGATGGATGGGGGCTCTGTGGGGTATGGGTGGCCTGTGATGGATGGGGGCTCTGTGGTGAATGGGTGGCCTGTGATGGATGGGGGCTCTGTGGGGTATGGGTGGCCTGTGATGGATGGGAGCTCTGTGGTGAATGGGTGGCCTGTGATGGATGGGGGCTCTGTGGGGTATGGGTGGCCTGTGATGGATGGATGCTCTGTGGGGAATGGGTGGCCTGTGGGGAATGGGTGGTCTGTGATGAATGGGTGTCCTGTGGTGAACAGGTAGTCTGTAGTGGATACATGTTCTGTGATGGCTGGGTGGCCTGTGATGAATGGATGTTCTGTGATGGATGGGTGTTCTTTGGTGGATGGGTGCTCTGTGGTAACTGGATGGCCTGTGGTGGATGGGTGCTCTGTGGTGACTGGGTGGCCTGTGGGGGATGGGTGCTCTGTGGTGACTGGGTGGCCTGTGGGGGATGGGTGCTCTGTGGTGACTGGGTGGCCTGTGGTGGATGGGTGCTCTGTGGTTACCGGGTGGCCTGTGGTGGATGGGTGCTCTGTGGTGACTGGGTGGCCTATGGTGGATGGGTGCTCTGTGGTGGATGGGTGCTCTGTAGTAAATGGGTGGTCTGTGATGAATGGGTGTCCCGTGGTGAACAGGTGGTCTGTGGCGGATGCATGTTCTTTGATGGATGGGTGGCGTGTGATGGATGCGTCGTCTATGGTGGACTGGCACCCTGTAGGAGAGAGGTAGTAACGTGCTCTACGCCTATTAGACAATGCGCAGGTCAGTGGCCTTGAAGGGCTTGTGTTGCCTCTTCCCGGTGCCCACCATTTGGCATCCCATCTGCCTACTCCTCGTTCTCTCTAGCTGGTCCCTCTTCCAGCTACCACAGTGCGGCCAGTGGCCAGGGCTGGGACCCAGAGAGCTACAGATCCCTCCTTTGGTCCTGCTCAAGGGCTCTGCCGTAGAGCCCTGCCAAGAAAGTCTGAAGCTTCCACGGCCTGAAGAACCCACCCTCACTGCACACCTTGTCTGTGGCACAGGGCTTCTGTGAGGACCACAAAATCTACAGGTACAAAGACAGGTGAGGGTGGCAGTGCTGCAGCCAAGAGAGGTGCAGGCGCAGGAGCAGGGTCAGGAGACCCAGGTCCATCCCCCACAGCCTCTCTCCCCACTTCCAGGGTCTGCACCATGGACACATCCACGCATGGGTCTGAGCCTCAGTCTCCACATCTGTGCAAGGGGAATGAGCCTCCCTCCCTGGGGGCACTTGTGAGGCTTAGAGAATTCAGAGGAAGTCCTGGCTCAGAACCAGGGTCATGTAGGGTATAAGCCATGGGAACACTTCTCTGGGTGTTCCTCACAATAAAGGGATCTTGAGCAGCATCTATGGGAATGCAGGCTGTCCAGGCCCTCCCCAGATCCAGAGTTCTGCTTAGAGAGAAGGCTGGGGTGGGGGAGGAGAGGGGAGAGAACCTATGATGAGCCTGAACTGGCCTGCATGCCTGACAGCCTCCCCATCAGCAGCAAGACGGGACTTACTTCAGGGCTCAGCAAGGGAACAGAGAGGGACAGCTCAGGGGCCTGAGCGAGGAGGAGAGGCAGAAAAGAGGCTGGTGGCATCCGGAAAATGACAGCAAGTGACCACCAGGCAGGCTTGGGGACCAGGGTCGTGAGTGGATTTAGGACCAGATCAGCAGCTGGGGCACCAGTTCAGCGGCACACTCACCCTGAAGGTAGTGTGTGGAATCCTCCAGATCCCCTGGACCTGGGAGGCCCGCGTGGAGAAATTGGACACCCTAGAGGCCCTGGACTCTGGATCCTGGCAGACAGCCTCCCAGCCTCACCCACATGTGCCAGCTGGAACAGGATCGAGCAGCCCCAGTTACCTGCTGCTCATGCTACTTTCTAGGACTTCCTGGGAACTGTGTGCCCTTTTCGTTCTCCCAGGGTGTATCTCCTTCCGGTGCAGGGGCTCTGGACAGCCGAGGTTGGTGGCATCCCCACCCTGGTATTCACACAGATGGTGCTCTTCATGGTGATGTCATTAGAAACGACGTTTCTGCCATTGTCCAGGCTGGCTTCAGCAAAGAACTCTCTAAAGCACAGAAAGCAAAGATGGTGAGAGCCAGTCCGGAAGATGCAGTTCTTGCCCTTGGTGAGTGGACAGCATGAGCGATCACTCCCCAAAGCCCTGTGAGGTCAACCTCAGCAATAATGGCCAAGGGGGATGTGGATCCAGCAGTGAGGGGCCCTGTATGAGGTCTCATGTCATTGTAACTGTGTCCTAAGTTACCACAGATGGCTGCTTGTGGTCACCATTCTGGCTCTTCTGTATTTACAGAGTCCATTGGCTTAACTCTGAAAGGCGACCTGGAGTGAAGGAACCATTCTTTGGGCAATCATCTCCTGAATCCTGCCCTCCTCACAGACACTGGGACACTGCAGATCCCTCAACACCTTGAGGCCACCAACAAGGGAGGTAAGCAGTGTGTGCTTAGCCTAGCTGCAGACACATGCTGCCCCAGCACGGGGGGCATCCGCATTCTGTACACCTCACGGTGCCCAGCCCTGTCCCCTGGCCTCCTGCCCTCTAGGGCCTTCTGCCAAGGATACTTACTGTCCAGATTTTTCTATCTTTGGTCCAGGAAAGTCATGAAAGTCTTGTCCATACTGATTTTTTTTTTTTTCTAAAAGTAAATGACATGAGAAGACTGTCAATGCACATGTTCATCCACTGTCCCTCCTGCCTCCAGTCCTCATTACACAGAGCTGACCCTGTGGCCCATGACTGGCATCTGCGCTCTGCTTTCCTATTGCAGAGACCCCGTGAGCACCCGCCACGCCCAGGCCCTGTGCATCACTCCTCTATGTAACAGGAGCAGGCATGCAGAGTCCCTGCTCTCAAAAGACTCATCTTTAGGGACTGCATGGGAGACAGAAGACAAAATTGAAAATAGAAAACAGAGATGGTAGAGTGCAGCGTGCTGTAACGTCCATGAGCAGAGGGAAGGAGAGGCATGGAGGGGAAGGGACAGCTGCTTCGTCACAGGCCACCAGGAGCATTCGTGTGATGCTCCACAGTTTCTTCAATCCCATTTCATTTTCTTCTTCTTCCATCATATTTAAGCAAAGTTAAATTTATTGTGCTGTAGTTGAAAATGTTAACAGCACTTGTCTTTGAGTTGGGATTTTGGGGTAATGATTTAATTTATTATGTATTAATTTATTATTTATTATGTATTATGTTTTCTCTATGTCTTTTTTTCTACATTGTATCATTTTTATAATAAAATATAATTAACACAAAAATAATTGTACAAATGTATAACCAAATATAATATCATAATTTTATAAATTAAAATTTCATGTATACATAAAAATAATTTCTATTGTTTTTCTCTTGTTCATGTAGGTCAGGGTTATTAGGCACAAAATGACTCATTTCCACATGGTAAGATGTGCTGGCCTGAACACACCTGTCAGATTAGCCATGAACTTCTAAACTGTTGACGTTTTCTTTGGCGCTGATAAAGATACCAATTAGGAAAACATGGTTAGGGAAACAGATTTACTTTGAAAGCTGGAAAGGTTGGGATTACTGGGGTAAAAGTCCCCAAAGTGGTGTGACCTGACTGCTCTATGGCATTCAGGACAGCGCAGGGAGCTCCTGAGGAGGGTGGGTGGGACTGACCCCCTGAGGCCATGACTCAAGGTCAAGATGGGCAGAGGGCTCAGCAACACTGGGCTGCCGGGAAAAGTTTTCAAACTGAGATTAAGTGATTAAACCCATACTTCAGTTACCATATTAAAAAAACTTTTTAAATTACAAAAGTATAGCCTATAAAGACAGAAAACGTGAAGCATATAGAAACAACAAGTTTTGAATATGTCTTCTTGATTCCCTATTTCTAAAATGTTCCTCAAATGTTTTCATCAGCAGAAAATGTAATTAATGACAAAGTCACTCCTCAGTGCATCTGAGCTCCCTGCCATACACAGGCATGCCCGGCCACTCCTGCACAGGCACTGACCAGGAGCAGGGTGGCCGTCTGCAGAGGCACCCAAGACTGCAGGATGGGCTTTCCTATGTGAGACCTGGTGCTGACCCACCTTGGAGAAAAGATCGGTCTCCTCCAGGAAACCAGTGCACCCACAGGCAGACAGAGGAGGCATCTGAGCACCCTTCCTGCAGGTAGGCAGGGACATGCCTTCCCCAAGAACCATCATCTCAGGGAGACAGAAGGCCCCCCTTGGGTAGACAGACAGATCTCTGGCTGTGTGACCCTGGAAAAGCTCTTTCATCACCCCTGCACTGGCTACCCATCCACACAAAGGAGGTGCAGTAGGGCTGCTTTGAGACTTCATGGAGATAGTGAGCATAAGGCACTTGGCCCAGTATCTGATATAAGAAGCGCTCAGTACACAGTACCTCTCCTTAGGAAGGGGCTGCTCTGTCCCTAAGCCACTCCCATGAAAGTATAGGTCAGTGGAATGTCAATGCTCTGAGACCATCTACACAACTCTGCCACATAAGAATGTGAGGATGACAGCCCCTGCCCCGTTTTATATACTTAGGGACAGGAGGAGAGACGGCTGAGAAGCATCCTGCAGGGAGAGGAGTCATTCCAGGTTTACCACACGGCCCTGAGTAAGAGGCCATTGGACATATCATGATCAGGTGGAACGACTGTATCAAGGGGTCAAGAGGGAGAATTTAGGGGAATGCAGAAAATCCAACTGCACCCCAGGGGCTCAGCAGGAAAGAGCACATCCCCTCAGTACCCAGGGCACAGTGTCTGCCTGGACTGTGTGCTTCCTCAGTATACTCCCCAGCGAAGAGGTCCTCTGATGCCTGAGTGTTGCCAAGCAATAGGAGAATGTAAAATATTATAACGTCCTTCCATGCAGCAGCTGCTCTACGCAGGTGATCTTGCTTACTTAGGTTGAGTGTCCCTAATCTAAGAATCTGGAAGCCATTATTCTCAGCAAACTGACACAAGAACAGAAAACCAAACACCGCATGTTCTCACTCATAGGTGAGTGTTGAACAATGAGAACATGTGGACTCAGGGAGAGGAGCATCACACACCCACACACCTTGGGCAGTGCGGGGGCGGGGGGTAGGGGAGGGACAGCCAGGGGGTGGGGAGGGTGGGGAGGGATAACACGGGGAGAAATGCCGGATATAGTATACACCTAAAGTAAAATAAAAAAAATAAAAATAAAAACACACAAAATCCCAAGTGCTCCAAAATCTGAAATTCTTTGAATGTCAACATGACGTTCAGATGAAAAGCTCATCGGATCATTTCAGATTTCAGAGGAAGCTACTTATCAATGACTTTGGTTTTGCTGAACTTGAATCTGCAAATAACTTGGTCCTGGCTCTTTGCATTATTAAAGCCATAACCATGAATAATCACTTGCTTGGATTCTGCAAAGACAACACTCAAAAGTCTGAGTGAGGAAGAGTGGAAGGCTGTTTCACTCTGACCTCCCTGTTTTTGGTGGTCCATCCCAGGGGACTCCCCTACAAGGAAGTGGCTGTGTCTCAATGAACATTGGTGTGTCCACTGGACCAAATCCTCATCTGGCGTCACTGAGGGTCCACAAGGAGGTGGTTGGGCCTTGAGCACACAGGGGGACTCCCACACCCTTCCTAATCCTAGGAACCCAGGAAAGGCACCCTGCCTCGGCCTCTGCACAGGGCCAGGTCAGCCAGAGCTTTCCACCCGGACATCCCACAGTGCTCCCTCGGGCGCCAGGGGTCAAGTCCTTGCAGTCCTGAGCAGTGTTGTAGGGCTGACCACTAACCAGGAGAAGGGCAACAGGACACGGATAGAAGTCACTTGTGTTGGGGAGAGATGGGGGACTGGGACTCCCGCACACTGCTTGGTATGCGGGAGTCCCAGTCCCCATCTGGGAGAGAAAAGCAACACTACTGAGCAACATTTCACAGGTGTGTGCCCTTAACGCAGCAACTCCACCTCTTGCCTCAATCCCAGAAAACTACTGAGCCACATGTACAGAAAGGTAACCGTTGAGTGTCCACAGCAGCACAGCTAGTAAAAGTGATGTATCAAGCATACTGTGCGTGTCCACCAAGGGAGACTGATGAAACCTGGCCCATTTATATAAGGCAATACAGATTGAGTATTCTTTATCCAGGATGCTTGGAATGAGAAGTGTTTAAGATTTCAGATCTTTTTTTAAAAATTTTGAAATGTTTGTATTTACTGAATGTTTGTATTTCGTCAAAAATAAGATGAACTGGTGGAGAGAAAGAGAGCCAGAGAGAGGAAGAAACACATAGAGACAGGATAAAGCAAGAATTGTCAAGCATTAATTAAAAATCCCCACGATGGATACAGGTGTGTTCATTGCACAATTCTTTCTACTTGGCTGTAAAGTTGGAACATTTTAATAATAAAAGGTTAGAAGAAAAACAAAGAACTAGAGAAGAAAATTATGCTTGGACACAGACACCAGAGGTGATAGGACATCCTGGGTGACAAGTGGCTGATAAAAGGGACAGACCAAACTCTTGGGCTGCAGGGAGTCAGAGGAGCTGATCATCGGGGAGGGCTTCCAGGACGATGTGCCCTTCGAGCAGGGCTGCAAAGGACAGGTGGGCTTGGCCCTTCTGGCTGAGGCAGGGCTTGCCGAATACCTACGCTCTACCTGGTCCCACCTCTGCACAGGGCCCAGAGCAAGAGCGGCACCTGGAGGGCCTCACTGCCCCAGGCTGGTCCTGAGCCCAGCAGAGGCCTCTGCCAGGCTGGATATGAGGCGCAGGGCTGAATGGGGGAGTCTGGGCTGTGCGTCTCCCTCCCTGACCTCCTTCCTGGGCTCACGGAGCCCTCTTGCTTCTCGGTGGCAGCCTGCTGAGAAGGCTCATCCTGTTGCATTGGGGTTCCAGGCTCCTGCCTTGGCCTTTCCCTCCAGTGACTGTCACCATCTGTGTGGGGCAGTTTTGCCCAAGTCAGCAAATAGCTGACACGTCAGGGCTGTGACTGGCGGGTCACGTGAGCAGAGGCAGAGGGCCTGGTGGGCAGAGGGCACCTGTCACCCCAACTCAGCTGCCTCCAGGGAGGAGTGCCAACTCACATCCTCACCTGGGGTTGACAGGGCTGCTCAGATGCCACAGACTGTGTATATCCAGGGACATCATCAGAGGAGCACAGCTGTCACACTGGCTGAATGGCTGGGTGGCTTTATATCAGGAGCAGCAGAAAGATTCCCCGAGGGGAAGGGGAGCTCTCTCCTCCACCCCCACCCTCAGCACTGCATGGGGGAGAGGCGGGGTGGGGACCAGAGCCCCGGACCAATCACGGAAGTGTCAGCACAGTTCCTGTTCCTGGGACCTACCAGCTCCCAGTCCTGTGCCAGTCCCTGCACAGCCCAGTGCCTTGGGGCTCACGACAGGCCTGGCAGCATCCTTTCTGTGCATGGGAGGCACCTCTGGAGCTGGCTGGCATTGCACTAATTGCTCCTGGCCATGTGCCCATGGGGAGCAGCGCTCAGACATGGATCAGGTGTCTGTCCCCACAGCCCACTACCAGGGCGCCCTGCAGTGAGGAACCTGGAGGCCAGAGCCCAGCTGCTGGAGGGTCTGGTGGTCTTGCTAAGGGCTTCGTGCTGTTCCCATGGAGGGAGGACACCCAGGGCTCCCTTCCTCTCCAGAAGCTGCAGTTGTGCAGATGCCGGCCATGCAGAGCCCCAGCGTTCACAGACAGAGCTCAGGACAGACAGAGGCATCACAGAGGTTCACACAGGGCTGTCACCACCCATGCAGGGACCCTGGCTGGCAGGAGGGCATCCTGGTCAGCAGGGATGGGTGCTGGGATTTATCCTTAAGGGATGAGAAGAGCCAAGGGTGTTTGTATAGATGCCTTTGTTGGGCTATGGAGGTTTCCTGCTCCCAGGGTGCTGTGGGATGTTGACACCCCCACTTCTTCCTCATCCCCCGAGATAACCACTTGGTTCCTGTTCACCATTTTGTAGTTGTGGGAAATTGCACAGATATTTCAGCTCCTACACCTGTCTGGCCTTCCTGGGAGGAGCCCTGACTGCTTCTGGCCTGTGGGCCGGGTAAACGGTTACGCATGCCCACACCAGATACACGCAGATACAACACACACACCACAAACACACTATACCACACACAACCAGCACACACACACCCCAGATACAACACACACACCATAGACACACTGTACCACACACAACTAGCACACACACACCGCAGATACAACACTCACACCACAGACACACTGCACCACACACAACCAGCACACACACACCACAGACACAACACATACACCATAGACACACTGTATCACACACAACCAGCACACACACACCGCAGACACAACACATACACCATAGACACACTGTATCACACACAACCAGCACACACACACCACAGACACAACACATACACCATAGACACACTGTATCACACACAACCAGCACACACACACCACAGACACAACACATACACCATAGACACACTGTATCACACACAACCAGCACACACACACCACAGACACAACACATACACCATAGACACACTGTATCACACACAACCAGCACACACACACCACAGACACAACACATACACCATAGACACACTGTATCACACACAACCAGCACACACACACCACAGACACAACACATACACCATAGACACACTGTATCACACACAACTAGCACACATATGCCACAGATACAACACACATGCCACAGACACACTGTACCACACACAACTAGCACACACACACTGCAGATACAACACACACACCACAGACACACTGTACACACACAACGAGCACACACACACCACAGATATAACACACACAACACAGACACACTATACCACACACAACTAGCACACACACACCACAGACACAACACACACAACACAGACACACTATACCACACACAACTAGCACACACACACCACAGATACAACACACACACCACAGACACACTATACCACACACAACTAGCACACACACACCACAGACACACTATACCACACACAACTAGCACACACACCACAGACACAACACACACCCCACAGATACACTATACCACACACAACTAGCACACACACACCACAGATACAACACACACACCACAGACACACTATACCACACACAACTAGCACACACACACCACAGACACACTATACCACACACAACTAGCACACATATACCACAGACACAACATAAACATACCACACTAGAAGCGTACATGATCTACACACCACATACATACCACACGCACCACACACCATACATGATGCGGAACACACCCTCACATAGCACATGCACACACGCAGACACCACATGCATCCCAACACAACTTCCACAGCACACACACCACAGCACGCACACTCACACACCATATACCCACTATGACCAACACACACATCACAAAACATACCACACACACCCTATACCCCACATGCAGCGCACATGCCTCTTACTACAACAGGGTCTCCTCAGCTCTTACCTCCTGCACACATGGCAGAGGCTCCACGTACTTTATCTCAAGACACCTTGTGTTCTGATCTGGAATAGAGAGCGGGCTAAAAGGGGCAGGGCGTGTGAGCCTCGGGGCATAGGAGCCAGGCCCCCACCCAGTCTCAGATCTGCCCCACTCACTCTGTCCACTAGGCCATGGTGTTCAGAAATTCCATGGCCTACTGCAAACATGTGGTCCGGGCTGTATGTAATTGCTGTTACAGAGAGGGGAGGTGGTTTGGACCCCTGGCCAGGAGGTGAGGATGCAGTGGGTCACAGGCCCAGAGGACAGTGTCTTGCCCTCATGCTGTAAGGACAGAGGGATGTCAGGGTCTAAGTGTCAGCCTTCTCTAGCCAGCAGCCCACTATCAGGGAGTGGGGAGCTCTTATGCCCTCCTCTTTGGTATGGTGGGATTTATACAACACACTGACAATCACTTCTGCAGTGGCCATGGGATGGCTCAATTCACTTGGGGGAAGTTAGATGACCATCCTTTTGTGGCCATGGAAAAACTGCCTGGGATGCCTTTCCCAGTCAGCTCACGAGTGGCGTGTGGTTACCTGTTTGGAATGACCTGGTCTCCTTATAATCAGCCACACCCATCGCCCCCAGGCTCTGAGCCTTTTCAGCCTAAGGGAAAGAAAGCATTGAGTATTAGTCATCAAAATACATGGAGCAACATGCTGGTAGCTATGAACCTGACTCACTTGTTTGAGAGTGTCCTGAAATGCATTTGGCAACAGTGCCCCATCCGTCATAGCAATAATCATGCTGATCACCTTGTCTGCAGGAGAAGCAAGGAGTGACCTACTCAGCAAAGGCCCCAGGAGTGACCTTCAGAAGATCTGAGACCCCTACAGGCACCGGGCCTGCAGCACTGCTCATTCTAAGGCATGCCAGCTGCCCCCACCTCATCCTCCAGGGGAGAGGTTGCCAAGACCCAAGCACCTGCCATCCAGAGACCTCTAGAGTGAGTGGGGGGCCTCAACCTGGTACCCATTTTACAGAGGAGGGATGAAGAGGGGCAGGGACCTTCCCATCAGGATTCCTGAACCCTCACCCACTAGCAGCCTGCACCACCTATGCCTGAGGACAGCTCCAGCCAGGATTCCCCAAGCACAGGCCTGTCTCATGGGCTGGGAGAGGAGCCACTGGGCTCTCCTATAATAGACAGGCTCAGGGAGGCTCCCTGGGGGCTGGGTTCTGCTGTGGGCAGAGCCTGTGGGCAGCATTGCTGGCATCTCTGGGCCCAGGAGTTCAGGAATCCAGGTCAGTGGCATCTGGGCAGGGGACCCCACAGTCACCTCAATGCCTTTTCCCACTGGCCCCACCTTTTCCTGACAAGAGCTGCAGCCCCACAGTCGGGAGTGGGAGTCGGGGGCCATAGAAAGATTCTACACTATCTGAGACACGGTCAGAGGATGGAAGTTAGTCAAACGGGAGACAAGGAAGAGACAAAAAAGACTAAGATGTTTGCAAGGGGGCAAACCCTTTGCCTCTTCTCTTCCTTTTCACACAGCCCAGCTGGAGGGCAAGCACCTCTGGGTTATGAGCACCAGGACTGCACACGCAGGGTCCCATGAAGTTTGAAGGATTCCATGGGGTGGGGGCTTACCATGCTCATTGCACTGGGGAGGGACCTAGAGCTCAGAGCAGGTGAGCAATTTGCTCCAAGAGGCAGGGCAGGAATCTGCACACAGCTCTCTGAGGCCCATACCCAGCTGTTTCTCCGAGGGGACCACCATGGGGAGAGCAGGCACATGGAGTCAACACATTGAATCTGCTAATTTGCCTGTAAGGAAAGGAAGATGTGTTTAAAAGTGCACTGTGAGGCAATTCCTGTAATACTCTAAGAGCGTGATGAACTAGAGCACACTGTCTGAGCTCCAGTGGTCGGTATCGTTTTACCTCATTCCTGCATGAATGTGTGTCCTTAGGGCTCAAGATCCTCTATTAGAATAAGACGTTCATGGATTGCTTTTCTGAGAAAATTAAGCAAAGAGGATTGAGGTGGAGAGGGGTTGACTGTTACTAAACAGTTCCTGAGCTCTCCTGGGAGGAGGAGGGAGGAGGGTCAGGCAAATAACTGGTCCTGCTCATTCATCAGTGTGACTTTGACTAGAGATATTTTTGCTTTCTCTGCCTTGGATCTGGTTAGCACAGTGGGAGGGAGGGTGTGGGGTTGGGAGCTGCTTAGCTGGTACCCCGGGTATGGTCAGTCTTTCTCTGAGCTCGTGCTTGTCTCAGGGCACTTAGGCTGAGCTTATAAAGGCCCAGCATGAACCCTCCATGGTTAAGAGGGAGCAGCCCATAGATGCACAACTACAGATCAGGCCCTTCCAATGGGACCAGTTTTCTTAACCCTAGCCATAACCCTAACCCTAACCCTAACCACTAACCCTAACCCCTAACCCTAACCCTAACCCTAACCCTAACCCTAACCCCTAACCCTAACCCTAACCCTAACCACTAACCCTAACCCTAACCACTAACCCTAACCCTACCCCTAACCCTAACCACTAACCGTAACCCCTAATCCTAACCCTAAACCTAACCCTAACCCCTAATCCTAACCCTAACCACTAAACCTAACCCTAAACCTAACCCTAACCCCTAATCCTAACCCTAACCACTAAACCTAACCACTAAACCTAACCCTACCCCTAACCCTAACCACTAACCCTAACCCCTAATCCTAACCCTAAACCTAACCCTAACCCCTAATCCTAACCCTAACCACTAAACCTAACCCTACCCCTAACCCTAACCACTAACCCTAACCCCTAATCCTAACCCTAAACCTAACCCTAACCACTAACCCTAACCCTAACCACTAACCCTAACCCCTAATCCTAACCCTAACCCTAACCCTAACCCTAACCACTAACCCTAACCCCTAACCCTAACCCTAACCCTAACCCTAACCCTAACCCTAACCCTAACCCTAACCCTAACCCAAAGGCATGCAACTGAGATTCAGGAAAAGGCAATGGAGCTGGCATTTCTAACCGTAACTCTAATCCTAATCCTAAACCTAACCCTACGGGCTTCTCTTGTGTTGGGCACTGTATCCTTCAATAGGCAGGGCTGAGTTTGGAAAAGGTCATCCTGCTAAGCCCCCAGCCCTGCACCCAGTGCCCAGAGCTCCAGACCCCTGACCCTGATTCAATCTCCCACACTCTCTTTATTCTACCAAAGTAGCAAATCTACTTCATTAGAAAGCCACAGCTCCTTGACTTCCTGTGCCCCTGAAACAAAAAGACCAAAGGCTGGGAGAAGCAGCCCCACAGGGTGTGCAGGCAGCTGAGCACTGATCTGTAGGCTGGCTGGGGGATGTGGCCTGTCAGCCTCTGTTAGAGCAGACAGGACTGGTTGGGCCAGGCAGGGCTGCTCTAGTGGCAGGACTGGGACAGGCTAATCCAATGTGACGGGCTGAGCCAGCACAGCAAGGCTGGGCCGAGCATGGACCCTGAAGGCTGGCTTCACACTGCTGGCAGAGAGTCCCTGCCATGTGGGGGAGCTCTGAGAGCCCCAGCCAAGGAGGGAAGGCGGCCAGGCCCTGCCCAGCCCCTGCTGCCCCTCTGGTCACCACCCAGAGTCTTTCCCCGTGAACTTGCTTTCTTCGCCCTCATGCCCACCTAGGTCTCCCTCTCCCAAACCCACAGCACACGATGCACAAACTCAAGCCTCCCCCAGTGTAGGGAGCAGAATCCCCTCCCAGCTCTTCCTCAAAGCAATAAGTGGGGCCCAGGCCCCAATCCAGTCCTCAGGGTCCTCACCTCTCTTCTGCACTTCACCCTCTCAGTGACCAGTTTCATGAATATGCATCAGAAGTGTTCTCACCTCCTGCCAATCAGGAACTCTGCAGTGCCTCCTGCTGGGCCCAGCCACCCCTCTAGGCCACCTCCAGCTGCCTGAGCTTGCTCCTACTGTCTCCCTCCAGCTCCCCAGCCCAGCCTGGGGCTCAGGACCCCACCCATGGACTCCCTTTTCTGAGACTCACTAGGAGACCAAGCTCTTCTGCATTAAACTCCCAGCACTCCCCCTGACCCTGACCCTGACCCTGACCCTGTCTCCCTCACACAGCTAGGGTCAGAGCAGAGAGAGACACACAGAGATTAGCAGCCAGCACAAGAAGTTGTTTACTGGACACATACACCTGCCCGCCAGCCCCTGCACCCCAGAGAAGGAGGCAGAACAGAGGGAGGGCAGGGGAGGAAGAAGGTCAGGGAGGCCGAGAACTTCGGGAGCACAGGGGCCTGCAGGTAACAGTGCAGCCAGGCATCGGAGGAGCCTGCTTAGGGGAAGAGGCATTGGGGTGAGGGTGAGTTCTGTGAGTTGCCCTGACCTACCTGTCCTGTGCGCTGTCAGGCTCCCAACCAAGGTCTCAGAGAGCCCCTCAGCTCCCTGGGGATCCCTCTAGCCCAGGACCTCAGGCCTCCCTTGGGGACTCGAAGCAGCACTCCCCTTCCTGAGGTGAATGTGAGCTGCAAGGATGTTGCTGCCCTCTGTGGAGTAGGTGATGAAGGACAGCATGCTCTCAGGCTGGAGAGGAAGCATGGGTCCCTGAGAAGCCGGAGGCACCAGCTGCACAGGACCCAAGCACAGCCAGGGCAGGTGAGGCCCATTCCCCACCTCCCACCCCAACTCTCCCACCTCGGGGCCTCTTGCTGGACACAGGATGGTGAGATAAATAGTGAAGGACTCTGAGGCCTATGGAGACGAGGGGTCCATAAAACAGAGGAGTTGGCACAGCCACTTGCTGCATCTCCACACTCTCAACATCCACAAAGAAATCAAACTCACACACACACACCATGTTCACATACACACATGCACACTCATGCATGCATGCCACACACACAGTCACCCATGCACATAAACACATGTACCCCATACTGAACAGGTGAGGAGACACACACACAGCCCTTCCAGCTGGCCTCCCTTCTACTGGAAAATTCTTTGCCTCCTCACCCTGTTCCCTCCTCTCCTTCCTCTCTCTCATTCCTCCTCCATCTCAAAGGAGTGACTGTCCCTATCGGCTGCCATGATCCGGCCCCCCTTTCCTCTCCCTGACCCTCCTTCCTGCCGGCTGACCCTCACTGGCCCTCAGCGACAGTGCTGCCCTATGTCCCTAGCAGAGTGCCCCCCCTGCCCTTGTTGCTCATTCATTTTACCAGCAGTCATCAGACTTTTCTTCCTTAAGTGCCACCTTGATCATGCCACTCCCCTGCTCAAGAGCTCTCTCTGGCTCTCTATGGCTCACAACAGAAAATCCCAGCTCCTTGGGCTGGCAAAATTAGCCCCTATGGCTTTGGCCTCAAACTGACCTGCCCAGCCCTCTCCCAGCCCTCCCTGAGCTAACCCATTCCCAGCCAAGCCAAACCACTCACTCCACCACAGGTCCCCTGTCTTTCCCATCCTGCAAGACCCAGTTCAAAGACCCACCTCCCTGGACGCCGCCCTTGACTTTGTTTTCCTTTAACCTTCCATGTGAGTTCTTTGTCCCTTTCGTGAGCTCTCAGCACTGTGTAACCCAGGATTCCAGGATTGTGCCTAATGTCCCCTCCCAACCTGTGATGGCCCCAAGGGCAAACTGCCTTCCCTGCAATATGCATGGGCTCGTAGGCAGGAGTCAGCCAAGGCCACGGAGACCAGATGGAACCAGTGAGCGCCAGCCTCATTCCTATTTCACATTGCCACCCTGGGCTCTGTGTTCCCCACCGAGGGACTCCCACACCCACCCCATCTGATGGGATGTGCTTTCTGCCTGCCAGAGGAAAGGGTTCCTGCAGTGCAGGGGAGGCTGAAGCCATACTTTTCATTTCTCTGAAATCTGTTTCATGTTGCAGAGCTATAAAGGTCAAGACAGGAGTCCAGACTGCTGGGCCTGAAAACAAAGGAGACTTGTGTCAGGAAGATGAGGCGCATCTGTCCGGTGGGCAGGTGTCTGCCCTCCCAAGTCTCCCGGCAGTCTCTTAATAAGCTCCTCTGACCCCAGCATAGTTTGGCTGGGGTACACCCCCAGCGACCACAGTGGATCATGTGGGGTGGTGATTTTCATCTGGGTGACCACCCAGACCTGTTTGCCTGGGACCAACAGGCTTTCAGGGATAAGGCGCATTTTTTGGCTAATAGCTGACTATTACCCTAGTCAGCTGACTAGGAGGTAGCTGACTGGTTACCCAGCTGGGGGCTGTGTAGATAAGAACTATGGGAGGGTGCCCCAGATGAAAGCCGGGAGCAATTCTGATATGCTGGCTCTCCTGGTTCCCACTTATCCTGGGGTTTATCCATCCCCAGCTGTCTGTGGTGGGATGGAACAGAACTCTTGGGAATCATGGTCCATCAGAAGAGCAACAGACCTAGGGGGCCGTGACCCAGACCTGGTCTGTCATTCTGCTGTTGGACTCTTGGTTTCTTGGGAATCAGACTTGCCCCTTGGGTTGGGGATCCTTCTGGCAGCCTGTGTGTGACCTGCTAACCCTATTCTTGACACCCCCAGATTCTGCTCACTGCCCCACATTTCCCAGCACCCACAGAGGAGGGTAGTGACATTCCCTGTAAGAGCCTGGACCTCAGGTGAATGATGTTGTGCACTTAGGCCATTTTGCTTCCCAGTTTTCTTATCAGCCTGCAGAGCCAAGCCACTCTGGACATGGAAGGCCTTCTCCAGCAGACATCACTGGGGAGGGAAGGAGCACACCTGGCCAGTGCTGTCCTGGCATCATCATTCCCCCAGCAGCAGGGAAAGCCACACACCCTTCTTGTCCTGACTTCCAGAT